TTTAGTTATTATTTCAAGGTAAATTAAGTGTTTTGTGCTTATTAGTATGCTTCAGGACCTAATTATAAAAAAATAGTCATGTAATAGGGCAAAGAGATAGAGAATAGATATGAAAGAAAAAACTTTGGATAGATGATAAAATGGGTGGGAATAGAGGTACTAGGAGCAGAAAATCAGAGAGAAACAGAAGGGGAAATATTAATACTCCATATCTTTAAATATGCTCATGAGCAAATGACTCGATGGGATTGGCAGGTGCACTTAGTACCCGGCTAAGAGTTGGTTTGAATCTCCTTCCGTGGAGGTAAAAGAAAAAAAAAACTCAAAACTATCAATGACTTATCATTTAAATGGTACTAGAAACAGAATTAACAATGGTACTTGTAAGCTAATAGAAAAAAGGAATGGTAATATAGCCCTAATGCCCTAGTACTTGGGAGATAAGAAAAAGAATAATTGATATAAAATAGTGTAGTTAATATAAAAAAACCTAATTCTACAAAAATAGAGGTTAAACTCTTAAATTTAGCAGAACAAAAATTGAAACTTCATCTGTCAAAAAAATCAATTGCAAACAACTGATTTGCCATTGCATAATTTTGTTTTCTATCCTATTTTTTGCATGGAAGCTAGCATAAATTTGCATCATAGCAGATGGATATGAGAAATCACAAGGGATATGATAAGGTGGATTGTGCCTTGCATGTGATACTCATACAAAAGCACCCAAAAAATGCTCTTTATAATAGTAGGTGAGTTAAAACAGACAAAATGTTCCCTGTCGAGAAAAATATACTGAAAATGAATTTCAACAAGTGAAAGGATTAAGGCAAGGGATAAGACTGTAGGGAACCATGACCCTTTTTTCAGCATGAAAAATGGTAAAGTTCCTTTGTAATAGATTTCCCCGAGAAAACATAACATGTATGGCGGTTTTGAATCAAACCATTCACACCCAAGACAGGAATGCCAAAAAAGTTATGGAATAAAAGCCAGACTGGCTGGTTGGACAAGCTGAACCAGGAATCCGTGTCTTAGTGATATATATTACATTCTATCCTTACATGCTAAGCCTTTTCTAAATCTGATATTATGGAACATGCAGGGTGATTGAAAACGAGTATTTAGGTCTGAGAAATGGAATAATGGATCAATCAGCTATACTGCTTTCAAGCCATGGCTGTCTAACCTACATGAACTGCAAAGTAAGTCAAACTTTTTGTACTAATTTCACTGAATAAAGCCTTTCACTCAATTAGGTGCCACAAGTTGAGTGATACTAACTAAGTTGGATAATTGACACAATACTCAAATTAAAGCATAGTAATTTTTTACTTTGAACTTTTCATATTTTTATTTAATTTTGTTTTTAAATGAATAGTTATGTAACTTCCTTTTTTTCCACTTATTATTTCCCACTTTGTTATATAATTTTTCTCCTCCATCCACAGTGTGTGTTGCCAAAATTTTAGTTAATTCTATATCTTTGTTGCCCTTTTGTTCTACTGGTGATATTCGCATATAGGCATATACTATATACTAATTTTTTTGACGAATAAAAAGTGGAGGAAAAAATTGAAGAAGAATAAGTTCATGTATTCTTCATGTATTTGACTAAAATCCACTAGTTTTAATAAAATCTCAACAGTATTGTCATACATGCAAAATAAGTTGACTAAAAGGTGTATTGTATTTAACAATTAACATAATACGTTAAAAAGAGGTGCAAGAACTAAATTAATATCTTTATCGTAGCCTAACGTTGTGTTACAAATATGTCCACCTTTGGACCTTTCACCAATTGCTTGTGTGCAATGCCACATTGCCTCAGTTCCCCAAATCTTGTCAGATGCTTTTCCCAAAGCCTTGTATATGTTGACTCACTTTTGACTGTTATTTTATTGAGTTATGTAACCCCTTTTCTTTAATTTAATGATGATCCGATCATGTTTTTTCTAAAAAGATATTTAATTCTTAAAACAAAATGTTGATTCATTTAAACTTGTTTCACATGGCCTCTCATTACATGTAGACTACAGAGCACAAGATTATACACCCACCAAAGTTTCAAGATGCTCACGAAGCTGAACCACAGAAAGGTTACAAAATATTACTAGCATTTTCAGGACTTAGGCAAGCTTTGACCAGCAATCCTGGATACAATTCTCGAGTTGCAGAATGTCAAGAAGCTGCCAAAGTTCTTCTGCAGTATGATCTCATTCCCTCTAATTGAGAACACTGGACAATTGTCATTTATGATTTAATTTTTAAAATGCAAATATCATCACTAGTCCACTTAGATTTTGAGACAGTTAAATTCATGTTAACTTCTATAGATCCACTTTTTGATTTAATGCTTGTGGATGGAGAATATTTGAATTATTTTCTTGATCATGTTGATTAGAGTAGTTAAAAGCTGACATATTTTATATGCCCTTTTAGAAGCCCACCTTGTCGTGAGTAGAATCATATCGATGTTTGATGCATGGCACAAACCTCGTTTTCTTACAATGAGAGTCCACATCTTTTGTTGTCTTGTTCTGATTCTGCTTATACCTTACAATGAGATATCATGACTATAACATTTTCAGTAAAATGCAATATTTTGTCATATTTTTACTAAAAGCTTGTCCTGGTTTATTGTGATTCACCTTTTTTCCCCCCTCTTTTTCTGTTATATTTTCAATAAACTTGTTACTATCTGTTCTTGTTTTGTAGTGCTTCTGGAGATGATGAAACAGAGCCCATCCTATGCAATGGCTAGTATTTGACCCCATTGTCTCTGTGAATTTGACCTTCCTCTTTAAGTTATTTATTTATTTATTTTTGTATTTGCACAATGAATTTAATTTCTTTCTTACCCTCCTTCCTTGCAGTTAAACCAGAAGCTTATGAAGCATACAAGGTATAATATCAATATAGACTCTGATTTTAGAAGCTAAAAATTTTGCAGCATTTCTTCTTTTTAGTTGTTTTTTATGCCATTATTATTAGTTGAATGTTATGTTTTGGATGTATTTTATTTAATTACCTGTCCTACTAGAAGAGTAAACTTCCAAGTTACATACTTCAGTTTGCTAAATAAGATATATATATATTCTCAGTATTAAATATTTAGGTACACTCATGAATGCATATATGGCATGCATACATTCATGGGTATGCTACTATTAATGAAAATAGCATGACCTCATAAATCTGAGTGTCCAATCGCCACATATTCAAGTATACGAGATTATTAACTTCGATTGCAAGAAAAATAAATTTAATAATTATGTACCCATGAAATAATAAACCTAGTTTAAACAACTTCATGTAAGATATGTGCCCTCCATGCCTCAAACATAAGATCTACACCATTCCACCTAAGCTAAGCATGGAAGGCAGTAGATAGGCTATGTTTGATGTATATAACCTGTGCAACTAGTTGTTGACTTAGCATTCTATGTTTTGTTCACAAGTTATGTTACTATTATCAGATGGCATTTTCTTTTGCAGTTCAAACTGGAACCTAATCTAGCCAAAAGAGCAGAGCATTACTTTTCAGAGAATATGCGAGTTACTAAAGGTACAACTGTGTTATCACGATTCCTTAAATTTATCTTGGCAACATAACTATAAGTAGATACCCATATTCAATGGCTTATCAACTAATCAATGGTGATTCCAGGATTAGAGGCTTGGGCTTCAGGAGAACTGATAGATTTTGGGGAACTAATGACAGCTTCTGGTCTAAGTTCAATTAAAAACTATGAATGTGGTACGACCTACCTTTTTCTGTTTCTTAGTTGCATTGCCATGCCTCTTAAATTCCAAAAGTTTTAACCAAGAAGAAACAAAAAATGATTCGATCTTCTATTGGAGCCTATTTAAATAAATGACTGTAATGTAATGGTTGTGAAGGGTGCGAGCCACTGATTCAATTATACGAGGTCCTATTGAGGGCTCCGGGGGTATTTGGAGCTCGGTTCAGTGGAGCTGGATTCAGGGGTTGCTGTGTTGCATTGGTAGATGCGGATCGCGCAACAGAAGCAGCGAACTTTGTGAAGGAAGAATATCCGAGGCTTCAGCCAGTGTTGGCAAGCCAATTGAGCCATGGCTCGGATGTTTTGATTTGTGATGCAGGTGGCTGCGCTCGTGTTATCGATTAACTTTCCTTCTCTTCGTATGTTGTTCTTCTGTTCATTCATTTCAATGTAGTCTGACGAATTCCATAAACAAGTGTGTTCCAGAGTTTAAATGGGTTCTGAATCGATCAAAATTTCAAAATACAAATCCATTTGAATTTTACTTCATTAGATTCCAAAAAGGGGGTAAATTATGTCGTAATCCTTCAATCTAATTTTGGTCCATTAGCCAAGTTTGTTCTTACTAGTCTGCGTTTGATTCGGCTTTGAATTCATCAAGTCGGAATGAATGCTGTGCGATATCAGTTACTTGTATGCTTATTTTAATATAAATCATTCATGCATGTAATTTTTTTAAAAGTAAAAAAGAATCATTTTCGTAAAAAGTGAACATCTCACCGACACAAAAATCAGCCAATATATTAAAATTAAAGCTTGATACAAGCAGCTTGCATAAAACCGGTTAATGGTTTTACTCTCTTTTTATTTGCTACCCAATCATCAACTTTGTCACATGAGAAAACACGAGATTTAAACAGCCAGAAAGGAGAGAGAAAATGTCATCAGCAACATCATTAGATTGTGTCTTGTAGTTTTGCAAGCAGAGATCCCAACCGAGCAGCAGCCAGCAAGAGGTGAATGTGCAAAAGCAAATGCATTAGCTCCGGTAACAAAACAAGGATTTGAGTGGGTGAAAGGCCTTTTTCTACGACCCTGCCTACCCTACCCTACTCTACTCTTAATATGTATGTATGTATGTATGTATGTAGGGAGAGGGTGAGAGTTGAGGTGAAATGATTTATTAAAGGAAGGAACTTGTCGACCGGGGAAAAGTTGAAGCATCAGTCCAAAAAGGGATCACGAGCCATTACATGACAATTCCAGCCACCTCATATTTGTCCTTTTTTTATTACAACAAATTGCTCACCGCTCTTCCCGTTTGGTTGTCAAGAAAATCAGGGCTTCTTCAGATTTCAGAGCTATTTCCTGCAAATAATGAGGCATCAACTTTTGAGTTTAGCTCTCTTTTGCTTCACTTTCTTCTCCTTTGCTTCTGTGGAAGCCCTTAATGTTGGAATTCAGATGGCTGGTTCTGACGTCACCGTGGTGAGTAAACTTGTTCACCTTCTTTATTACTAAAATTTTTATATACATACATGCTGCCCTGCCATTATTTTGCTTAAACTGGCGTCGGCATTATGATTTGCAGAGCAAAGAATGCAGTAGAACATGTGAGTCGAAGTTCTGTTCAGGTATTCCTTTCTTTCTTACTTGTATTTGGTTGTTTTCTTAATTGAAAAATGAGTTGGGGGAGGGGGGATAAATGAATGCAGTGCCTCCATTTCTGAGATATGGCAAGTACTGCGGGCTATTGTACAGTGGATGCCCTGGAGAGAGACCCTGCGACGGGCTTGATGCTTGCTGTATGAAGCACGACGCCTGTGTTCAAGCCAAGAACAGTATGTATTCACTTAATACATATATATCATCAAAAACAATTTGAGATCATTATGAAATTATCATTTCATAAACTGCAGATGGCTATCTGAGTCAAGAGTGCAGCCAAAGCTTCCTAAACTGCATGACCAATTTCCAGAAAGCGGGAGGGAGGTGTTTCAAGGGAAACACATGCCAAGTGGATGACGTCATTGAGGTCATCTCTGTCATCATTGAGGCCGCTTTAGTCGCCGGAAGAGTTCTCCATAAACCATAGATTTAGCCTATCTACCCTACTTGTTTTACAACATTTCATGAAATTCAGCATAACAAATTCATCCATGTCTGCATGAGTAGTGTTATCCTTCAAGTATAAGCCAAATTTGGCTTTGAAACCGATGTTGAAGTCATTATTTTTCCCGTCCTTGGATCATTTTCTTTTGCTATATATAATATGACTGAGGTAAATGCCATGGAAACCGACTGACGGTCTAATAAGATTGCTAAAAAGGATGTGTTGTTTTTACAGACGTGATCTTGTCTGCCGTCCCAAGTAGTAGTAGATAGCCTTGCAATATTAGGTCTCCGTTGCCACTTCAACAAACAATGAACCACTTAGCTAGGGATTAAATAAGCATAGACACAAGCCATGCGTGCACTTGGATTGGATCCCAAAACTAACCTGGGAACCAAAAGGAATAGAGAAAGCAACGCATAGCATTGACGATGAGCATATTGTATTAGCATAATGATGTTCGGTTAACCCTTGATGGATTACTGGTTTACAAAAACTAACAGCAAGATTAAAAAAGTAATTCCATGCATTTCATTGAGGGCTTAATACCCTTTTATACAACTTGTTATCTAACAAACTCATGACAGCTCAGCTAACAAACTCAACAGAAAGCTATGTGTTCACACACACACTCACAACACTCAACAACCTCACATACATCATAACCACTCAGCCACCACTCTAGCTTCATTCACACTTAACCTTATTTGCTAACATTCTCCCATCTTTCTCTTCTTCTATCGTTTGTTATTTTAACATGGACATACATGAAGTCTGTCTCGAAATACTTGAAACGATGCCTTCATCAAGGGCTTAGTAAATCCATCAGCAAGCTGAAACCCAGCAGACACATAGCTCACCTTTAGGCAACCTGCTGCAACCTTCTCCCTAACAAAATATATATCAAGATCAACATATTTCGACTTCGCGTGATACACAGGATTGGCAGACATTGCAACTGCACTTGTATTATCACACCAAACAACGGGATCATCAGATGACTTCAATCCTAGATCATTTAATAACGCAGCAACCCACGTTACCTCGGCAGTAACTTCAATAATACTACGATATTCAGCTTCCATCGTCTAACGAGAAATCATTTTCTGCTTCTTCGAGACCCAGGTAATTAAACTGTTACCAAGAAAAACTCCATAGCCAGTCATCGAACGCCTATCGCCAACATCACCAGCCCAATCAGCATCTGAAAACGCCTTGACACGCAGCCTAGTATCTGCAGCCGAAAATAATAGACCATAATCTACTGTGCCAGCCAGATAACGTAGGATACGCTTAACAGCTACCAAGTGTTCTTCGCACGGTGCTTGCATGAATTGAGCTACTCTATTGACCGAGAAGGCAATTTCAGGTCGTGTATGACAAACATATAATAATGCACCAACGATGCTACGATATTCACGTGCATTGGACAACAACACACTCCCTTTACTTAACCCTTTCAATGACGCTATCATAGGAGTGCATGTTGGAGTGGCTCGAAGCATATCTGTTATTTCCAGCAATTCCAGAATGTATTTTCTCTGGCTAAGAACTAAGTCAGCACCTCTTCTTTTGACCTCAATGCCAAGGAAAAATGAAAGTTCTCCAAGATCTTTTAAAGAAATTTTTTTGTTCAGCATTTGCACAACAACATTGATGTTATCATCTGAAATTTCTATGATTTCTATGTCATCGACATAGACTAAAAGATATGTGCAAGAACCATTTATGAAGCGAACAAACAAGGAAGCATCCGCTAGTGAAACCGTAAAACCTAACTCAAGCAAACTATTTTTAAGTTTTTCATTCCATTTCCGTGGAGCTTGTCGAAGCCCATACAAGGCTTTATTCAGCTTACACACTAAAGGAGATCCAACACAGTCAAATTGTTCAAAACCTGGGGGCTGTTGCATATAAACATCTTTAACCAAATCACCATTGAGAAAGGCGTTATCAATATCTATCTGTCTTAGGGACCATCCCTTAGCAACCGCAATCGCAAGGACCACATATACTGTTGCAAATTTAACAACTGGGTTGAACGTATCAATAAAGTCATGACCAGGGACTTGTGAAAACCCCTTAGTAACTAACCGAGCTTTATAACGATGGACAGAACCATCAACATTCCTCTTAAGCTTAAACAACCATTTGCAACCGACAAGACCCTTATCACTTGGCATCTCAACTAGACTCCAGGTTTTGCTATGAACCAAGGTTGAGTATTAAGCATTAACCGCTGTTGCCCAGTTGGGTGACATTAATGCCTCATGAACGTTAGCTGGAACACCATCACTAACAATACTGGAATATACTTTAGGCTTGTAAATTCCACATTTACTACGAGTTAACATGGGATGATGATTGACATTAGACTCCTGCGCAGACTCATTAGGTGCAACAACCTCTTCTGGAGATGAGGAATTAACTTCATTATCATCAAGTGGCGCAGATGAATCTTCAAGACCATTAGACAAGTACACAGAATCTTCAAGACCATTAGACAAGTCAACAGAATCTTCATGATCACACACCAGAGCCTGCTGATCTCCAAGCATCTCAGGAGCTACATCACCCAACCTAGGAATATCCATGACAACATCAAGAGGTCGACTAGTCATACTAGAAGACCCATACGTACCAGCGTTATTTTCAGCTGTAAAAGGGAACTGCCACTCGTCAAATTGGACATACCGAGACACATAAACTAGGTCATTTGCCCCAAGACACAAAAAACCTTTATGTTGAGGACTCACACCCAGAAATGTACATGGCTGCGATATGAACTCCAATTTATGACGATTAAAAGGGCGTAGATACGGGAAACATATGCACCCAAATACTCTGAGCAAAGCATAGTCGGGTTTCTTATGAAACAACGATTCAAACGGAGACATTCCTTGCAAGACTCGAGTTGGCAGTCTGTTAATAAGATAAATTGTCATTACTGCAGCATAAGACCAAAATTTAAGAGGCATAGATGCTTGAGCAAGAAGTACGAGAGCAAGTTCAATGACATATCTATGCTTTCTTTTTACGACTCCATTTTGCTCAGACGTGTGTGGGCAAGTTAACCGATGCGAAATACCAACTGTTAGAAGCACACGAGACAGGCTGCGAAACTCTCCTCCCCAATCGCTTTGTACAGCTTATATTTTCGAATCAAATTGTGTAGAAATGAGCTGTTGAAATAGTTCAAACGCATGAACTGCCTGTGACTTATCTTTTAGCAAGTACAACAATGTGTGATGTGTGCACGCGTCTACAAAGGTCACATAGTACTTGTAACCATTTGAAACCACATGTGACGATCCCCATAAATCAGTGTAGAGTAATTAAAATGGAACATAATAGACTGTATCTGAATCAGTAAAAGGGAGCATATGACTTTTGCCCATGTGACAAGCAACACATTGTTCATTCAATTTCTTATCAACAACTATATGAAGTGATTTGCAAACTTGTTCTAGAGTCCCATGTGCAGGATGCCCTAGATGCCTATGCTATAGTTCATACAATTTATTTGAAGTAAGAACATAATAAGCTACTGTCTGACTACTACTCACAGCATCAACATCCACTTGAAAGAAGTAGAGACCACCTCATTCTTCACCTTGCAACAAAAGCTCACCAGACCGTTCATCTCGAACACAGCAACTTGTAGCTCGAAAACTCAAAGTAAACACCGTTGTCCCTAGTAAGCTTAGACACCGATAACAAATTCTTTGTAATCTTAGGCACATGCAATAAGTCGTTTAACATAAGCGCTCGAGAATTAGAACATAAAGCAGATTTACCAGTAGCATGAATCGAAAGAGGTACACCATTTTCAACTAGTAATTTACCTGGACCAGAAAAATTAGATTTGAGATCAATGGTCGATTCATCAGGTGTCACATGGTGTGACACGCTAGAGTCAACCACCCAGGAGTCATGATGTGCAGCATGAGCTTCAACATGTCGTTTTGTGTAGTAGGAACACATATCACCATCTACTTACAAAGCTTCAGCACTTGAGTAATTAACACGACCAGTGTTGTTTCCAGCAGAACCACGACCAGAACTCCTACCAGAAAAATTCTGATAAAATCGATGCCAATAATCAACCACAAGGTGGCTATTCTTGCCACATAACTGACACTGAACCTTGGGCCTGCCACGACCTCGTCCTCATCCTCGAGCAGTATAGCCAGAGTCATTGCGATAATCAGTCCGATTGTAAGAGCTCGCATTAGTAGACTTGGAGTTATTACTCATATTGGTGACATGCGCACTCATAGGAAATTGATCATCTCGAGCGTCAAACCCAACAATCTGAGTTTCGACATCAATCAACAACGAACATACCTTATCAAGAGATAGTGAGTCTTTCATTGTAGTAATGAAAGCAACATATGGTTGATACTCCCTCGAGAGACCCTTTAAGATACTCGCAACTTGTTCTGCGGTGGAGATGACACTATCACACGATGCCAACGCATCATAAACTTCCTTGATCCGGGTCAAGTACGTCCGCATGTTGTCATCTCCTTTCCTGAGTGACTGAAGCTTATAATGGAGGCTGATGACTGCCGTGGTAGAGCGGTTTGCAAAGAACTATAGGACCTTGTTCCAAATAGCCACCGCAGTCTCTACCCCAACAAATTGAGAGAGCAGGTGCGAGCTGATCGTTGACAACAGCCACGATGCCAACGCACTATCTTGTGCGACAAAGTCATCATACAGTTCATTTGGCACCGATTCACCATTTGCACCAGCTACAAAGGCAGGCGGAGGCTGCAACGAACCAGTCAGCAACTTCTCGAGCCGATGACTACCAACAGTTAGCAAAACTTGCTGCTTCCAGAGTAAGAAATTTGATTCATCAAGAATGACAATCACCTTCTTGTGAGTGAAGGTCTTGGCAGCCAATGAATCCATCTCCTCCAACAACTGAAGCAGCGAAACGAAGCACCTCAAGAACAGACAGCGAATGATACCATGATGGATTACTGGTTTACAGAAACTAACAGTAAGAATAAAGAAGTAATTCCATGCATGTCATTGAGGGCTTAACACCCTTTTATACAACTTATTATCTAACAAACTCATGACAGCTCAGCTAACAAACTCAGCAGAAAGCTATGTGTTCACACACACACACTCACAGCACTCAACAACCTCACATACATCATAACCACTCAGCCACCACTCTAGCTTCATTCACACTCAACCTTAGTAGCTAACAACCCTAAACTCCATTCGCCTTTAAAAAAGATCGAAATACCATAAGAAGAAAATAAAAAAAATCTGAGAAATTAAAAGTGTGCCTATTCATCATGAATGAAAACACAATTTGGAAATAATTGAAAAACTATTTTTTTAAAAGGACTATATAAGATTTTATCCCATATTTTCAGGGTCTAAGAAGAAGGAAATGCCTAACAGGGAGCTTCATATGTTTGTTTGGAGCACTAGTGCTTCTCTTGGAATCCAAGGCATTAGACCTGGGTAGTCTGATGTATGATAATCTAATATAATATTAGTCAAGGAAAGGCGCAATAGAAAATGTTAAAATAAAAGTAATATTTTCGGTTGCGTCTTTCCTTAACTTTTTATTAGAAAGTCTTTCCTTAAACATTCCTCAATTAGGCATGCAGTTAATAGAGAAGCAGCCTCCACAGATTTTGACACTTGTAAAGCAGGTAGCAACAGTCCATCAAGAGGCAATATTGTTTAACCTGTATAACATATTCCTCCAGCCATGTAGAACCTAACTACACATACATGTTAATTTGTATAAGAGCTACTGAAATATGAATCCGACCTTTGTTTTCAACTCTAAATTTTTTTATTAATATTTATAGGATAAACTATGCCAATAGTCACTAATGTTTGGGTCAGTGTTCGTTTTCACCAGTAATGTTTTAAAAGTCACAAATCAGTCACTAATGTTATCGTTTGTTATAAAATGGTCACTTGACGTTAATATTCATTAACAAATTGTTACTATGGTAACGAAATGTTGATGTGGCACGTTAAACCTATTGACTCAGCACGTTTACAACATGTTTGAGAGGGAAAGACAAAGATTGATGGAAATAAAAATTGATTGGATATCGTAGATTCATAAACTTAGACCTTGAATCCATCTATTATCGTGCTAATCAAGTATAGATGTAATTGAAACTATAGAAGAAGGGCACTAAGGATTCTTTCATGGTTTCATAGTTTCAAGTATTTAAAGGCACTGGATTTAAAGAAGAAGAAGAAGAAGAAGAAGAAGAGTCAGTCAAACATACCGGGTCAACTGGTTTACGTACCACATCAGTATTCCATTACTGTAGTAATAATTGTTAATGTTTGCTAACGTCGAGTGATCATTTTGTAATAAATGATAACATTAGTGACCGATTTGTGACTTTCGAAACATCAGTGGTGAAAATGAATACTAACCTAAACATTAGTGACCATTGGAGTAGTTTACCCATATTTATATAACAAAGTATTAACAAAATAAGAAATATCTTAACATAATATTAATAATTTTTTTTATTTATATAACAAATTATTAATAATTTTGTGATTTAATGGTTGAATGATGTAATGTAAAAATTGAGTGATAAAATCGGAACATTTTAAAGTGTAATGACCAAAATATAATTAAAAAGAAATATAAGTGATGAAATTTATAATTACCCGTGTTATTATTACTTTTTTTTTTATAAACGTGTTATTGTTACTTTAATCTGGGCTTCGTGCTTTCTGTTTCCGAGGAGAAAGAATAGAGGCCACTGCGAAACAGAAAAAATGAAAAAGAAAAGTTATTCTGGCCGTAGGATTGCTTGTGATCACCGGCTCTGATTGTTTTTCCTCTCTTAGATCCATCTCTCCTCCATTTTTCTCATCTCTTCGTTTGGTCGTAAGTTCATCTCCATCTCATCCAAATTTACCCCTAAATCTGTCGGCTTTTTTATGGATAAATCGTAATTTCGTTAATCGGGTCGGTCGTGCTATCTGTTTATCATCATGCATCAGCTAAACTATTCTTTGATGGTTTCACGAAATCGAGAGAAGTATGATGCATTTCATTTCTTTATTTTTTACTTTGTTCTTGGAGGGATTCCATCGAATGACGTCTGAACTCTGGCCTTTGTTTTTTTATAGTAATTTTAAGGTTTGGATTTTGTTTTGGGTTTTGATATCTGTTGTTGAAATTTTGTTATTTCCAACGTTGTTCTAGATCTTGCATCCCGATACTGAGAATGAAATATGTCCTGAATTTTTTGTAGCTGTTTCGTCGTTAACCTGATTAAAATTATTGAAAAAAGATTATCTGATGATTTTTTAACTTTTTTTTTCTAATTTATTATTGATTTTCCAGCTTGATTCGTTTCATTGAGTGTCGTTAATCCTTCTTTTTTTAAGAAAAAAAAGTAACTTATACATCTATTTGTCTTAGATTTAAATTCTAACTGCTGTTCTTTCAAATAATGTTGTAGGTCTCTTTAATTGGCTACCAAAACCTCATATTATTAGCCTCCACTGATAGATAATCGGTGTTTTGCTTCACGAGGTCAGTCGAAGTTTGTGATGTCAATAAGACTGAAATGTGAAAATATATATTCAATGATTAGCCTATATATTTAAAGGCATTATTTTTCTCATCTGAAGGAGGTTTTTGAATTGCTTCCTAGTGTTGATTCTTACCCCTTTCTGAAAGTTAAAAACATGGTGGAAACTAAAAAATATAACCTTTTTGATGATAGTCTTCATAGAGCATGGCACAACAATATTATCCATTTATTGGGTAGCGAATAGCATGGAAAAGGCTTTGTTTCTTGTAGCTGTTGTCTTTGTTACTCCTATTTTAGGCTGCAAATATATCTTTTTATTTAAGCTGTAACATACATACAACAGTTGAACGCAAGTGAAGGAAGATATGTAGCTACTTTTTTAAAAAAGAAAATGAAATCTTAATTTACCCTCTCTCTGAAGTAATCTAATTCAAAAGTTGAAATGAAGTAGACTTAGACTATTACTTACTGGAAAGTCTTTTATTTTTGCTATTGTGGTCAGTCTCAACATTAAGCAGAAATATTTTTTCATAAACAATTCAATATAATCTTTACGAGTTTTTGGTTTAAGCAAAAGCTAGACACTGCAATAAGTTAACACGCACATTGCTATAGATCAATACTGTCAAAGCAACAACAAAGAACATTATGCTAGCAGGTTTTGACTCTAATGTTCAAAAACATGTACTGTTTTCTTCATCATATCTGAAAGAGCTTGTAATAGAAGCAGGTTTGGTTAAACACTTATTTTCTTGGTATAAATTTATAGCCTGTAGAAGTTAGTGATGATTTGGACATTTGATTAACTCAGTAATGTATTCTGTTCCTGTAATAGGCTGTTGAGGTATTCAAATGCAGTCCCCTACTGAAAAAGATTTTGTTATGTTGAAAAGGGAAGCTACCGAATTGGCTGGGTCAAGTTTTACGAGTCACATGGATAGTACTTTCCAAGATGGTGTAGATGCTGCTGCTTCTGCTTCGTCATCTTCAGATGATGACTCTCAGGTGACACACAATGAAGATGATTTATATAATGGTGATGCTTCTAAACAGTTAGTGCTCTATGATCCTGCTGTCAGTAGAGTTGGTTGCATGCCTCCTAGACCTATTCAGTGCCGACCTTCTGCAAGTCCAAGATTTTCTTCATCAAAACTATTGCCATCTGTTGGGGCTTTCACTGTCCAGTGTGCCAATTGTTTTAAATGGAGGCTTATACCAACAAAGGAAAAGTATGAAGAAATACGAGAACATATTTTAGAAAATCCCTTTGTTTGTGAAACAGCTCGTGAATGGCGGCCTGATGTCTCTTGTGATGATAGAGCGGATATCTCTCAAGATGGAGGCCGGCTTTGGGCAATTGATAAACCAAACATCGCTCAGCCTCCTCCAGGCTGGCAAAGGCTTCTACGAATAAGAGGTGAAGGAAGTACCAGATTCGCAGACATGTATGTGTACTTCTCTATTGGGGCAATCCTTAACCATTTATCTATGGTTTTTTAAGTCTCTTCCTTTTCTCATGTTATTCTATTTTTTCTTTTGATACAGCCTCAGAATTTCTAGACCATTATGGGCTTTATTTCAATTGATTAATATTTGCTTGATTAGTTTTTTTGCATTATCATAAGCAACTCTTATTTGATCTTAAACTGTAGACATTGCTTGTTTTTTCATTCTTTTTTCAAGCATTAAATAGTAACCTAATTGTTAATGTGGTCATGATTTGTGAGATGATCAATATGTTTTTCCCCTGAAGAGTAAGCAATGAACCTAAACTTGGTTTTAGAATGGTGCAGTTGTAATTTGCATTTTCTGTGTATTTCAGCTACTATGAAGCACCAACAGGAAAGAGACTGCGGTCAATGGTGGAAGTGCAAAAGTACATAATGTTTACTCGAGCTTTTGGTTTTCTCAATCTACTTTTTTTCCCCTTGGGTACAATTGACTACTGGATAAGTAGTCTGCAGTGACCATGCCACACATGCCTCTCCCAGCCCTTGAATTTTCTGTTGATAATTCTGTCATATTGTTTTCTGATTTACAGGTACTTGATTGAACATCCTGAGTATGCAGAAGGAGTAAAACTTGTCTCGATTTTCATTTCAGATTCCCAAGCCTTTACAGGAAGACTATGTGAGGAAGCGCCCTGCCCGTCAGACAGCCTCGCATGATAATGAAGGTATGATGAAGGCACTAATATGCTTTCTTTATGGACTGAATGTGAATGAGTGTTTGAGAGATTTGAGTTATCTAATACATTATTCTATGTTGTATGAATTTGTATATATTTATGCTATTTTGAGTTATTTAGTCTTAATATGTAATTTTCTTCATACCTTTATTTTTCTGGATTGTTCCTAGATTCTGCGTACATTAATTTTCTGCCATCTCTATTTTCCCCTTCTTGTTTGATGTCAGTAACAGACAGCAAAATTCTTTTTGCAACCCATTTAGAGGAAGCACAGCTTGGAAACAGCACTCACTTCATCATCCGCTTGCATAGACTGATCATGACTTTTGTTTTGGAAATATTTTCTGTTGGGGCTTTTCTCATAGTCATAAATACCATTCTACTCCATATTCTCTGTTACAGGATATGTTTGGTTGCTTCGGCACACCAGTCCTTCCCCATTTATATTTTGAAGATGGCTTTTCTGTATTTCTACAGTATGTTCAATAAAATCTTATATTGTGCCCTTCTGTTCTTTTGTTTGGATTTGTATTGTGCTTCATGATTTGCATTTCATGCTTTCTTTTCTGGATTATCGATTGGATGCCTTGGTTTTCCTTGTATGTCTTGGATTCTATTTTTCATATACCCCTTTTCCACCAGAACTGATAACATGATAGCAAGTTTGTAAGACATGTAGCATTGTTTTGCTTCAATTGGATGATGGGAGCTGGTGCACAGATCAATTTATTCTTCGGCAGGGGGCTATTAATTTCTACACCGTCCTTATTTACAAGTATTGGGGAGGTTGCGTATGCTTACCATGTCCAGGGTAGATTCATGCAAAACCCAAACTTATGCTTAGATTCGCCATCTCGACCTTTTATCTGTTTCTAAGACATTCACTAGTTTGTTGATACTGTATCGCCTAAAACAATTATGCTTGGCTAATAGAAGTCTTTTGTTTATTCTACAGTGAATCCACTAGTTTGGGCTGGTCAGGACGACACAGAAATGCAGCAGGGGCGCCTTGCACTTCCACCTCCTGGTGCTGAGGTCTCTGTTCCTGATTCACATAATCGGCCAGCAAAGCAGGCTAGGAGAACCCCATCAGAACAGATGTACCTAAGCAAGCATGGTAGCAAGGTAGAAAAGGCCAGTCCGTCGAGTAATAACAATTATGATCAATGAGACACGGACCATATCGGTTATTGTCGGACTATTTTGTTCTCATCTTTAAAAGGCTCTAGAACGCTATGCGGAAGTTAAAAGGTTGGATAATAGCTTTTTGTTTTAGTAAGGAGTAATGGGAGATTGGGTGTTCTAGAGCATGTTTTTTGGGGAAATATGTTGGGACTAAACTAGAAATCACGACATTGTATTTATGTAAGACGCAAGAGGAACCTAGTCATACAAACTATACATGTATGAAGGGGCATTTTGATTATTCTTTTGGGCTGGAAGTTAAATGTGGATTTTCTTGGTTCTATGTCGTCGTGTATCATATAATCTATTCGAGGCTTAATTAAAAGTTCGAATTTAGTATTGTAACTTTCTTCTATATATTCTAATTGTGGTCAGATATAATATATAAGAGCCATTAAATTAACATTAACCCCAGCTTCTATAATTCAATATCAAACAAAAAGCAACGCACCAGCCCCAGCTTATCTTAGTACCCATTCTCAGCTTGTGGTGGTGTTTTTAGTAGTCAAAGCGGTCTACACCCCAAGTGTTTTAGATTTTTCAGAGCCATCACCAGGTGTTGGATTTTGCTTAATAATACCACTAGATGCCAGTAGTTAATGTATGAGCCAGCCAACCACTTGATGATATTCACGTCCTCGGCAAGTACCTCTTTTTGCTAGTGATTCCCTCCAGGCTGAGATATGATATATGCCAATAATTGCACCTTTTTGCTAGTTTAATCTCCTGTATTTATATGATATATGCCAATGACATTTGGCGTAGCTATGGAATATTAGAAAACGTCCAAGTGGATCTCCGATATTTACCACATGCAAATGCTTTCGCCTCGTAATTTTAGTTTTGCAGTATCCCTCTGGCTTACATCAATGCTTATTGCTTACGCTTTTGACTTCCTTCTTGGTTTCTTCAACTCTCCAGCCCCTTGTCCTGCCTTGGTGTATTTGGAGTCAGAACGAGCATTTTGATGAACTAGCCGCCCTCAGGCAGCTGAAGAAGAGCGAGTTTCGACTGGAATCGTTGATCTTGCCAATGCTGACAAACCATAAGTCTTATTGGTGGAGCTTTTAAAAAAGTAGGAAATTATATTGATTCTTTGTAATATTTTTGGTTGGAAATCAAAATATTATATTTTTTCGTAATATTTTTTGTTCAATCGAAAATGTTAGAAGAATTAAAAAAAAAATTAACATCTTAGGTTGCGTTCAACCAAAAATATTATATTTTTTATAACATTTTCGGTTACACTAATTTCCTGTCGTTCTTTAACCTTAAATTAAGTTGTAGTACCGAACTACCCTATAAATTCTAAATTTTCGTTAGTCCAAAGAAAAAGGAAATATGAAAAATCTGGTAGTTCTCCGAATGAAATTTTCTATATTTGATTTTTATTTTAAAAAAAATAAAACAAGAGTACAATGGCCTGATAAAATAATAAAAACTGATATATTAAATATTGAATTAATATTTTCTTAAAAAAAGTTTAAAATTATATATTTGTGACTTATTTTTATGATAATTTAAGTTGAATTTATAAATTTATATTTTAAATATACCAATTTAATTTAATTCACTTCAAATACACCTCCTTGGCTCGACTCTCCACTTGTTGTTTATATGCTTTTGCAACCTGGTTGTTCACGTTACTAGTTTTTACGAGGCTCCCAACCGTATGCATGCATATGTTTCTCAAGTGAAAGAAACTTGCGATGCGTTGATGGCATGTGGAAGCCCTGTTACTGATCAGGGGAAAATTGCTACAATTTTGGGAGGATTGCCACCTGGGTTTCGCTCCTTTGTGGCGTGTATTACGGTTACCAGAGAACCGATGACGCTTGATAGAGTGATTTCGATGTTACTTGATGCTGAGATGCAGTTGAAGAACTTTGAAGAATTTGATGGGTCGAGCATAGCTGCAAATGTTGCTCAAGGTCCGACGACAGGTTCGTTGAAAGTCATTGATTCAAGAGAGGGGCGCTCACAAGGCTGCCAAGGTGGACTGTGGCAGAGGTCGTCCTCGCTTTCAGAACCAGCTGTGTGGCAAGAACGATCACCTTGTAGATCGCTTCTGGTACCGTTTTGATCAGACATTCTCTAGGGTGTCTTCATCGAATGCAAGGTCACGATCTGGGAACAATCTCTCTACAGCAACTGAAGGTAGCCATAGTGCAAATATCTCGAGTCTTGAGTGTATGTGTGGTCATCAAACTCAGTCACGAGCTGCTGCATTGAATGTCAATACTCATGAGAAGCCTCGTACGCCTGGGCTGTCAAGTGATCAATCGTTTGTTGATTCTGGTGCAACTCACCATGTTACAGCAGATTCTGCGGATGTTGTGGACAATGTTGAATACTTCGGTGCTGGTAAGCTAATAGTTGGAGATGGTAAAGGTTTGTCGATAGCTAAAACTGGTCAATCGTCTTTGGTTACTACTTCTCGTGTATTGAACTTAAATAATATGTTGGTTGTTCCTCACATCACTATCACTAAAAATCTCGTTCCGGTGTCTAAACTTGCTAGAAACAACCAAGTATTTTTTTTCTTAGTTTCATGCCTGCCGTTACGTTGTTTGTGATGAAAATACGGGAGCGGTGTTGCTACAAGGCCGGGAAATTGATGGTTTGTACAAATTTGATCAGGCGTCTCTTGGAGAAGGTGTTCATAAGTCCGAAACATATGTTTCGCTTGGAGTGAAACGAATTATGCACTTTGGCATGACCACCTTGGTCACCCTTCGCATGAGGCTTTAATACAAGCTTGTAATCGTTGTAATATAGAATTGATCAAGTCTTGTAATAAAACTTTATTGAAAGTTTGTGCTTCATGTTAGATGGGTAAGAGCCATCAACTTCTTTTTGTTGAGTCTTGCACATCTTATTCTACATCATTCGAGTTTGTATTTACTAATTTATGGGGTCGACACCTGAGGTGTCCAATAGATATCATTCTTATGCATCTTTTGTTGACGTACATACAAGGTATACGTGGTTATACTTGTTCAAGACAAAAGATCAGGCTTTTGCAGCGTTTGAATTATTTCAGAAGCTTGTCCTTTGCTACTCAAATCAAAGCATTACAAAGTGATTGGGTGGCGAATATAGAAGCTTCTCACTGATTTTGTCCTTATACGTCGCAGTAAAATGGGAGCGTCCAACGCAAACATCGACATGTTGTCATTAAAATAGGCAATTATAAAAATATTTTGATGTAATAAGTAGAAGTGTTTTTGTTCCCATGATTCAACATTTACTTGTCCTTATACATCGCAGTAAAATGAGGTCGTCGAATGCAAACATCAACATGTTGTCATTAAAACAGGCAATTATAAAAATATTTTGATGTAATAAGTAGAAGTTTTTTTGTTCCCATGATTCTCATCATAAAACTTTTCATTAAAGTTATCTATTTTTTTATAAAAATATTTTTTAAATATCTTAAATTATGTATTATTTATTTAAAGAAATACTTAGTCAACTCATTTCTATGAAAAGAAGAATGTATATTAAAAGAACTTAGTTTAGCCTATGTACACATTTGAGAACTAAATATATGTGAGTATATTGAGGTTGTTCACATATTTTGTCACCACAGCTCATATAATTCTCACTAGGGGCCCATAGAGTTTTGTCCCGAAGGACTGCGTAGAAATGTCCCGGAGGACTATATAGATGTCCCGAAGGACCACATATAACACATATATCTCGAAGGACCACTCCTTAAGGACAACATACATATTCCAACTTAAGTAGTATCAGTACTACAAGCACAGTACCGATACTTCTATACTTGTCGTATCGATACCCTACCACGGTATCGATACCCAATTTGGATTCTGTAATTTTCTTGCAAGAATGATACTGATACCTCCCCATTGGTATCGATACCGTTGAGAAAATATTTTGATATAACAAAAGTGTTAATGAATTTTAAGATTTTATATTCGATTCAAATTATTCGAATATAAAAAATATTACTCCAAGTTTTCAAAGATCAATTTTTACTCCTTACTTAATGAAAAATTATGGTTTATACTTAAAGTATTTTTGGAACAATTTTTACAAAGTATTTTGAATCATAATCGAGTCAAAATTGAGTTTTAAATAGGGAGGTATCGATACCTTCTTAAGAGGTACCGATACCCTTTAAATATCGAATGCAAAAGAGGTACGGATACCCCACAGGGTACCGATACCCCTATATATAGAGGTATCGATACCTAGCCCATAGGTACTGATACCTCTCGTGTTAATTTTGACTCCGAGAAAAACAAAATGCTAAATGGGTACCGATACCATGACAAGCACCGATACCATGACAGGTACCCATACCTATTTACATAGATGTATCGATACACCCTTGAGAGGTACTGATACCCTTGGTTTTATAATGGTAAAAATATTTGAATTTTATACAGGTAGTATCGATACCTATTGAAGGGGTATCGCTACCCATAAGCTCCCAACAGTTTTTTCAAGTGGATTTTCACACTACAACGGCTCTATCATCACCAATTTGATTCCCAAAGGCTAAAACTCATCCAATTTGTATTTAAACAAGTTCTTGAAGCCATTTATGATCAAGAAAAGTTAGAGAAACAAGAGAGAAAGCATCAAACATCAAGTTTGAGCAATTCAAGTCAAATTCCTTTCAATATTTATTTTACTTTCAAGAACACTCTTTGTGCTCAATTGTATTTATCTTTGAGTGTTCTTTCCTTGTTCTAGAATTGTGCAAACATTTTACCTTGTGAGGTTATTCTGTAAAGTATGCAAAAATTGTAATTTTCTCTTTGAGAGAGAGTGTTCTCAAGAATTTGGGGTATAATTCTTGAGGGAGTTGTAAGGTTACTCTTTGTCCTCAAAAGAAAGATAAATTAGTGAATTTGTGGAAAATCCTTAGTGTGGATAGCTAAAGTAGTGGATGTAGACTTTGGTTGAGAAAGTTGAACCACTCTAAATCGCTGTGCAAATATTTTCAATTTTCTGTCAAAGCTTCCACCGAAGTTTTAATTGCCAATTCACCCCCTCTTGACCGATTCATCCGATCGATTAACTCAATAGATACCTATGGTACTGATACTATCACCTCAGTATCGATACCCCATGAAAATTTATCACTCTTCTTCCTTATGGTATGGATATTATTCATGCAGTATCGATATCCTACGCATAATTATCCCAAAATTTGCCTTGTAGTATCGGTACTCACTCAACCAGTACCGATACTACTATCCCAGATTACACTTCTTTAAACCCAAAAATTTACCAAAGTTTAATTAAACCACTCATTTTGAACTCCTTTTATACCATTAACTTCAACTATACTTATTCATATCATCTTATATCCATATAAAACATCATTATCTTCAATATCTCATTATAATTCTTGAAACTAAAAATCTTACCAAATTTCCAACATGTTATTAATTAATTTATATTACTTCTAACTTCTTAATTCTTCTTATGACAAGTCAAATTTATCAACAAAACTTTTAAAACCTCTTCATACCAACAATTCATTTCTACACCCTTATTACAATTCTCTTTCTAATTCTCTCTTCTTGTTGTTTTGATCTTATATAAGCTTTCCTTAAGCTTATATAACACCCAAAGAACAAAAACCAACTTAGAAATTCTAGAAATAAACATTTATAAATCAACTCACCTTTACAATGAAGCTAACGGGTAGAAGAAGAAGAAGAAGAAGGCAAAAAGAAAATAGTTCTAGATAATTCTCCCAAATCCCACGTGCTTATCCTTTAATAAATGAGAGAAAATATCCTTAAAAATGAAAAGACCATAATAACCTTCATTCTTTCCATCCTTGCTATTTAATCCACTACCAAAAATATTCCTATTTAAGTCCCTTAACTTTTCAATTTTCTTAGTTTGATCACCAAATTTCAAAAACTTTCATTTTAGTCACTAACCCGGTTTTTGGGTGTTACAAACTTTTTGTTTTTTTAGCTCCTTATCTTATGTATGTTTTATTTTAACCCTATTTCATGTTTATGATTTTGGTTTTCAAATTTTACGCATGTTGTATTCTGGTCCTTAAGCTTAATTATTTTGAGTTTATGTATGTTTGTACATTTGATGTGTTATTTTTAGAATTTTCATTTTAATCCTTGTTTATTTTAGAAACTGTTATGGATGGTGTGGTTTATTAGCATGCTTAGTCCTTACTCTTTTGTCATGTATTGATTTAATCCTCATTTCAAATTGGCTCAAATGTGATTTAATTCTCATACCTTTCATTGGTTTTATAGTTTAATCGCTAAAGTCGCAATCTTTATTATTTTGATCCATCATTTACATATTTGTTAATTTCTTGCTAGTTGTAATATTTTCAAATATTATTTAACTTGAGGAATTTATAGAAACACGCCTTAACTGACAAGGATTGTGATTCCAAGAATTGCTCAAATGAAATCATACCTTTTATTTTTAAATGAATTTGTTTTTTTTATTTATTAAATATATGCATTTCATCTAAAATTTAGGGTAATATTATTTTGTATGAAGAATCCATAGAAATGCCCCTTAACTGACTAGGAATGTATTTTCGAGGATTGTTCGTACAAAATAATACCCCTTTTTTTTCTAAAAAAGGATCACAATTTAAATATATATTCGAATTTGCCAATTTCAATATTTAGATGACATATAATTGTTTAAGTATCGATTTCGGGCGTTGTGGGGTGCTAATCCTTCCCCACACGTAAACGACTCCCGAACCCTTTTTCAAAACAAATTTCTGGTTAAACGCATATCATTTTTTTATCTTTTAAAATTATTTTTCTTAAAATTATTTTAAAAGGTATTTTTAGATAATCGACCTACCTAACCCAAAGGTCGATGGCGACTCCAAATCTATTTATTTTTTCTTTATTTTAAAATCCAACTTTTTCCCAAGATTAAATTGGATCGATCTCTGTCATGGCCCTAAAAAGCTCAAGTATCGTTCCGACAACATTAAAAGCTAAAAATTATATTGATACATACATAAGGAAGAGATGTTGATACCTTTTCTTGAAAATGTTGAAATTGCATTTGTTTAAGATTTTGGTGGATCAAAATACTTTGTATGCTTCGCAATGATGTAAGTCTGTGATATCTTTTAGTTGATTAGAGATGACACACATAAAATTATTCGGTTGTTGTTATTGTTAATCACAAATTGATTAAAGATGATGAGAATAAGATATTTTATTTTCTTTCTCCCATTAAAACCGTCTACCATTGATTTTTTGTCAAGTTTTTTTAATTTTAACTTATTATTATTTTAAATTCATTATTGATAAAAATATAACGGATATATTTTTAAAAACTTTAAATTTATTTATTAAACTAAAAGGATTTAGTTTTTTTTTTGAGATCCCAAGTATCACGGGTGTTCGTCCATGATAGTAAAGCTAATTAGTCTGCTTAAAAATATATTCACATTATATTATATTAACAAAACATAAAAACAATTTTCAGATTGTTCATTAAAAAAGAAGGAAATCATGGGTCCATCCTGTCTGCACTGGTAGTAAGTTGTAACCTTAAATAAGACAACCCCTCGATGACCTAATTACATTTAAACGTCTTAATTTCCATTGACAGCAAAATTAAGAGAAGGTGGAGCACAACATAGCAAAGCTGGATATAACATGTTGAAATTATGTGCATTAAGCAATTTAATTTAATTTTCTTGTGGAAGCGAAACTGCTACATTCAACAGCTTGCTTGAAATCAATTTAATTTTCTGGATACAACAAATGGTTTATTTATTATATTTTTCACATTACGCACTTAATTTCTAGCCCTTTAGAAGGGTCGCAATGCTTGTTGAAGTTAAACGAAGACAAGGTAAGACACATCTGAAGAGTTGAATGTCTCTACTGTTTCTCTTAATTTCTTGTTAGTTTTATTTCGAGCAACCCGTAGTGAAAACGTTTTGGAGTGTTTTAATTTTTAATCAAAATAATCTCTGTTTGATGAAAACTATCAATTAATTAATAGTATCACAAAATAATAATTTGACATATATCACATCATTAATTAAGTAAATATGAAAATATCATGTTAACGATGGTTAATCAACTAAGATTTTCATCTAAGAAAGACCATTTTAATCAAATATTAAAATGTTAAAAACAGAATAAAAAATAAAGTGACTTACAAAACGTTTGGGGCTAATTCTGTCATGATGACAATTTTTATTGGAGCAAGGCTGGTCTGTGCTTTCTTTTTCCTGCTCAACCTCTTATCCTAATTCTTTTTTTCCTCAAAAACAAAAAACTTGATAGGCTCTGGCACGGTAGGTGAAGAAAACAGTAACTTCAAAAGCTCAATCTTCCTCGACACAATCATCAAACACTGTTTATATTAGTTTTAGATATTTTAATTTGAAAATTAACAATATGCGACGGATCACTTTCCCAATGTGACGCAATGATTTGTGTTTTTTTGGTAAATTACATAAATGATCTCAACTATTAAAAGTTATAAAATAATTATCCAACTATTCATATATTTTAAATTAATCCTTTTTCATTAAAAAAAATAATGATTTTCTGAATTAGATGTTAACTTATTGACTAAGGCCTGATAAAATTTGATCTAATAACTTTTTGAACTGTATTTTATAGATCGACTCTCACTTTACGTTATGGCGTCGAGCTATTGCTTGGAAAATTATATTAGCGAGTCAATGCTTGAAAGCAACAATGGTGCAAGTAAACATCATTAAAATATTATTTTATAATATATCAGTCAGCATGCCAATATCCAATTTATATGACCATCCAGTTTTTAACAGAAAATGATAAGTTTAAAATATATGAATATCCTAATGACTATTTTGTAACTTTTAACAATCATGAGACTCAACAAAATAACATTCTATCATCGGGAATCATTATGCAACTTTAACGGTTAAGGTACTCAACAAAACAACACAATCAGTAAAGTAAAGACTTTATTTTTTTTTCTCTTATCCAAATAGTTAACGAATTAGGACCACAATCCACTGTGGAAATGATTACAAGTAGAAAAATAGAAAGATAAACCTAACCGATGGCATGGTTATTAAGTAAAGTGTATAAATCACATGACAATGCCACCCCATCTCATATTTTACACTTATTAATGCAAATACATATGTATATATATAGTCAACATATACCTAATCAAGAGAGTGCTTGAGCAATGAGCAAAGACATGTTTTTGTATGATCATCATGACATGTATTATACCGACAAATGGCATAAGGGATGATCTGATGAAGATGGTGATGACTTGGTCAAGCTCCATAGATCATCATCGTTGCTGCAGTTTTGATTTGATCTCTGCAAATTTAAATGCGATAATTGAATACCATCATCGTGAGAAATACTGTAAACCCCATTAGGGTCACCATAACATGATATTTGCTTGCTTGTCTCTACTTCACCACTTAGCTGGGATGCAACTAGTTGGTCCAATGTGACCCAGTCATTATTACCGCCACCACTACCACCGCCTGGTTCTGTTTCGGTCTGAATATCATCGATTGATTGGTAACAGAGAGAAGGGAGAGTTGGGCTTTCTAGCCTGGGGAGATGCATGAACCCATCACCGATTCCTAGGTTATTTGGAACAAGCATTATGGGGTTACTTTTGTTGGTGTTTATGTTACTCAATGAATCGTTCTCCATCTTGCATGTTCTTCCCATGTAATGAAGAATCTGATCTAGAACACCATCGTTGCCTCCTGAACAAGCCATCTGTGTCTTTAAATCATGACAAGTGGAGGATGAGGGTTTTGGACTCTCTAACGCTTTCAGATAATGCTTCTTTCTGAAGACACGGCAAACCACCCATCCATCTTCACCCACGGATTCTCCAATAGGATTGGAAGCCTGTACTTGTACAAATTGCTTGATTAAGAAGAATATAATCCAATATTTTACTATACTATATATAAACATACATACATATATAGATCCATTAATTGGTTGAGTGATCAACTATACACATGTTATCACATCTTATATAAGTTCGAATTTTGACGTTTCTCTTAAAAATATAATACCTCCTTACTTAATAAAATATATATACATACACATACTATAAATTAAGGTTAATTGTGCCAGACCTACTCAAGCTATGAGGATATATTCTAACTTTGCCCCAAAATTTTTACACACATACTATAAATTAAGATTAATTGTACCAAACCTACTCAAACTATGAGGTTATATTCTAACTTGGCCCAGAAATTTCACGATGTTCCAACTTTGATTGGAATATCGACGATACTTATGCAAGTCTTGATTAGAACGATACTTTTAGGGATTCAAGTGAAAAAAATTGAAGTTTAAAGATGATCATTTAGAAATGTATAAAAGGAAGATGATCAATTTTGAATTTGATTAATAGCTTGAGGGCATCTAGTATAATTTAAACATATAGGTTATAAAAATAAAACAGTGAAAGAGGATTGCTTACATTAGATTCATTGGAAGTGTTATCATCAAGCCTATACTCATGCATGATCCAGTCAGATTTTTGACCGTGTGGAGCTCTTCCTTTATAAAAAACCAACGTCTTCCTCAACCCAAATCTCTTAAAGCCAATATATATGATCTTATCACGGCCAGTTGCTTTCCAGAATCCGGCAGCCGTGGCCCGATTGGTTCGGGTTCCTGTCGGGTATTTCTTATCCTTATGGCTGAAGAAGTACCAATCATTTTGTGGGGTGGATCCTATTCTACACTTCTCTGCATATTCCAGAGACAAAAACCAGAATTTAATTAACAATAAAAATTAAACTCAAATGAAAAAAAAAGTGTTTACCTTGAATATCCCATGGCTCAAGCTTATTGAGATCAACTTCCTGGATAACATCAAGGTCGATCTTTTCAAAAGTAACTTTCTTTCTGAGATAATAGTGAAGAAGCTCTTCTTCAGTAGGATGAAACCTAAAGCCTGGAGGGACCTGAGACTGACCATTTATGGATACATTCATGTCTTTCTGCTATTCTCTTGAAACCAAGAGAGAAGCTGCTGAGATTTATAAGTTTTAAATCTTTAGAAATTAAAACTCAAGAGCTTAGAGAAAGAGAAGAGGATAACAGAAAGAGAAAATGAAAGGGAAAGAGAAAGAGAAGGGTGCGTAAAGGGTAATGCAGTCACGGTAATTTATAATGGTGGTAGGGCATCGTATACTCCAAATATGCATGAAAAAAGTTCTGGTATTATGGCCATTGATGTACTTAACGTGTGGTTTTATGCTTTTGATAAGACCCAACCACCTAAAAACTAAACCACCGTACGTGGAAGTTTACATACAACAACGAAATAATACAAAATAAACATTTTGTATTTATTGTGCCCACAGCCTCCAAGTTTTGCAAATCCAATCAATAAATTAAATACAAAATTTTAATGGACTTTGACAACAGTGAATTAAAAATATATATAAATAATTTTGTTCAGGATGAAATATAATATTTTAAATATTCACCACAATGAGGGATTTTATGTTGCGATTAATTGGTGTACAACGGACATAAACAAATACAAAATTTTACGTTAAGAATAAAAATATAAAAAATTATATTAGAGTGAAGTCATCCAGACATATTATATGTGAATTTGAAATATTCAAGCAGTATGATTACACCCTAACATTTGTTCGGTACATCCCTAATTATCAATAAGATTCTACATTCTTTACAACTTCTGAATTTTTTTAAAAAGACTTACATCTAAACTCACGTATTCATACATGCTATGTTACTCAAATCCAAATCACTAAAAAAAAAAATTTTAACTACTCAGGCAACTACTAGTCCTCAATAATGAACCAATCTAGGTATATTGGGTCACGAGGTTAATGATGCAATTCAAGAAATTAAAAAATATAACATAATAAAAGAATTAAATTATTGTAAAATAAGCAAAAAAAATAAAAATATATAATTATTTTAACTCGCGAAACTAAAATTAATTTGTAGTTGTAACTAATTTAGAAATATTCATGATCGATTAATTTTTTTCATTTGTATTGTTTTTGTTATATATGAACACGTGGGTTTAAACATACTAACATATATATTATTTTTTAATTTTTAAACAAAAATTAATCTATATAATTTAGATATTAAATTAAATATACTAATAAATATCAACAATATTAGAAATAAATTATTTTGATGGAGTTGAAAAATAATTCTAAATTTTCTTTTCTTTTTATTAATATGGGATCATTACAAGACAATATTTGTTTAAAGATAACTTTCAATCATTTGACATTCAAAGCTCACCCTGACATTCTTGGTGCACGAACTCAAGATCTCTAAGAATAACAACAATTCTTTTACCATTGATATTGCTCGATTTGTGTTTTAAATTTTCTTTTTAATATAAACAAAATATATATTTTTCATGTAAATTAAAATGAATGAAGCACATGTAATTCAGACAATTAATTGTTCCGTCAACAAATTTTATTCATGAAAAGGTGAAAATTCACTGAGGGTAAATTTTAATTAAAACAGAAGAAACAAATGAGGTGGATATTTCAATTACGACAGAGGAACTTATTATGTATCTACGGAGTAGCAACAAAAAGAATCGTGGATATTTCAATCAAAGAAGTTATTTATATATACTCAAAATCAAGTAATTATATTCTTACAATCTGTTTGAAATAAATTCATATAACATCTCTTTTACCATGTTTTATCATTAATTTCATGTAAAACTATATCTTTTTAACATATTTTGTATAAATTAATTGATATCACCAATTATTTCAACATTAATTTAAATTGAAAACAAAACAAAATAATATTTCTTATTAATCGTGATTAATATTATGGAAATTATATATTTTTTACTTTAATATTTTATATAACTATATTCAATTCAGCTTGAATTATCGAGTTGATTTTCGGGTTTGAGTCTAATTAAAATTTTAAAATTTTGAGTTACTCAAAAAATTAAAAATTTGAATGAGTATTTTGATAAATTTATAATTTGGTCCCTGATTTTATATTCCTTCAGTTTCTCCTTCATTTCAAATCATTTTTTACCAAATTTGAACCACGTGCTCCTAAACTATCATAAAATACCTATGAATTTTCCATTCCTATTTTTGAATAATATTTTTTTGTTGAAAAATCAAAAGCACATGGGTGGCTAGCAACATGGGTGGTTATTAGGCAACAATTGTTGACTTTTTTGGTAAGGGATAATTGAAATTTAGTCCCTTCACTTTAGGATATTTATAAGATTAGTCCTTAAGCTTCAACTATAAATACCTTATCCCATTTAGCTTCAAAACCATCCAAAATTATTCTAGATTTCTCCCAATACTAGAGAATTTAGAGAGTTTTCTTGAGAGTTGTTTTTCTCATTTTTATCAAGAGAGAATTATCATTGTTTTCTCCTTGTTAGATCGAGAAAAGTTGTAATTCCTATTTTCTCATAGTGAAATTCTTCTACCGTTGCCCGTGGTTTTTACCCTATATTATTTAGGGGTTTTCCACGTAAAATTTGTGTTTTCTTTATCTTCATTTTTATTTTCTCAATGCGATTTTACTCTATTCGATAGCCGTATTACGTAACAATTGGTATCAGAGCCAGATTTGAGTGTGTAATATCTACTTATTGTCTTTGTGGTTGCCACCAAAAGGTGGATCCTCCAATATAAGAAAGTAAGAAGGTATTACCCATTCTTTGAAGGTTCCAGAGAACTATTCACGATAGTGAAATAGTGAGAGTTATTCGTAATAGAAGCTATTACAACGAAATTTGATATTGAAAAGTTCAATGGGAGAAATTTTCCATTGTAGAAATTGAAGATGAAGGACATCCTGAGGAAAGATGATTGTCTAACAGCTATCAGTGAAAGACCAATAGATTTCACAGATGACAACAAATGGATCGAAATGGACGAGAATGCTATGACAAACTTTTATCTAGCACTAGCAGATGAAGTATTGTCAAGCATCGAGGAGAAGAAGACATCTAAGGAGATATGAGATTATCTCACCAAATTGTACGATGCCACATCGTTGCACAATAAAATTTTCCTTAAGAGGAAATTGTACACTCTCCGTATGCCAGAATCTACTTCAGTGACAGAACACTTAAACACGCTGAACACTTTATTTTCCCAGCTTACATCCTTAAAATGTACAATAGGAGAACAAGAACGTGCTGAACTTCTACTTCAAAGTCTACCTGATTTGTATAATCAACTTGACAAACAGTAATGCCACCAATTTAGTCTTCGATGACATTGCAGTTGCTGTTCTACAAGAAGAAAATCGGCAAAAGAATAAGGAAGACATACAAGTAAATATGCAACAAGCAAAAGCGTTGACAACGATGAGAGGGAGATGAACATAACGTGGCCAAAGAAGTAGTCACAAACATGGTAGATCAAAGTCGAGAAGCAACAAGAATTTAAAGTGCTACAACTGTGGAAAAAAAAGGTCACTTGAATAAGGATTGTTGGAATCTAGGTAAAAACTCCAATCCACAAGGTAATACCGCAAACACTTCAGATGATGGAGATGCTCTATGTTGTGAAGTGTCAACCACCGTGGAAGGTAGAAAGAGATTTGCAGATATATGACTCATTGATTCAGGAGCAACATATCACATGACCTCAAGAAGAGAATGGTTCCATCATTATAAACATGTCTTAGGAGCATCTGTGTATAGTTGCAATGATCATGCCTTAGAGATCGTTGGTGTGGGAACCATCAAATTGAAGATGTATGATAGAACAATTAAAGTTGTTCGAGATGTGCGGCACGTGAAAAGCCTGAAGAAAAATTTATTATCCTATGAACTGTTGGATAATAATGCAAGCAAGATTGAAACACAAAAAGGAATCATGAAAGTGTTCCATAGAGCGCTTGTGGTGATGAAAGGCGAAAATATAGCAGCAAACTTGTACATGTTGAAGGGAGAGACTTTGCTAGAAGAAGAAACCTCTGTTGCCTCATGTAGTTCAGATTCTGCAATGCTATGGTATCAGAAACTTGGACACATGTCAGAACAAGGAATGAAGTCCTTGTGGAGCAAAAGCTACTTCCAGGCTTTACAAAGGTGTGAGCATTGCATAACAAGTAAGCAGCACCGATTGAAATTTAACACATCAAATTCTAGAGGCAAAAGTGTTCTAGAATTGGTTCACTCTGACTTATGGCAAACACCAATTACATCCCTAGGCGGAGCAAAATATTTTGTCTCATTTATTGATGACTACTCCAGGAGATGTTGGGTGTACCCTATTAAGAAAAAGTCAGATATGTTTTCAACTCTAAAAAACTTCAAAGAGGGCGTGGAACTTGATTCTGGAAATAAGATCATGTGTTTCAGAACAGATAATAGAGGAGAATACACAAGTGAAAAATTTGATGACTTTTGTAGAAAATAAGGCATCAAAAGACAGTTCACAGTGGCGAACACTCCTAAACAAATGGAGTGAGAGAGCGGATGAACAGAACCTTGTTAGAAAGAAAAAGAGCAATGTTGAGGGCTGCAGGCCTAGAAAAATTATTTTGGACAGAAGCAGTCAATACCGCCTGTTATTTGGTGAATCAAGCTCCATCAACTGCAATAGAGCTGAAGACACCAATAGAGATGTGGATTGGTAAACCAACTGATTATTCAAACCTCCATGTATTTGGAAGTATAATGTACGTGATGTACAACTCCCAAGAAATTTCAAAGTTGGATCTAAAATCCAGGAAATGCAAATTCTTGGGGTATACTGATGGAGTAAAGGGTATCGCTTGTGGGATCCCACTGCCCGCAAAGTGATCATCAACAGGGATGTTATCTTTGTAGAAGATACATTACAAAGAAAAGAAGACGATGATAACGCTGAAAAGTTAGAGACTACACAGATACATATGGAAAAGGAGTTTGAATAAGGAGATTCTTATGAAGCAGAACCAGTACATGATGAACAAGAACCAGAGAGTTCTGAAGCTCCAACAACTCGTCAATCAGATCGTGTGAGAAGACATCCCAATTGACACTTAAATTATGTTATAGAAAGAAATATTGCATATTGCCTTTTAACAGATGACGGTGAGCCATCAACATACCAGG